TGCATCCTACCAGACAAAACTCTATGTGCTATACAAAATCTATCAAGGGGCCAGCAGCCACCTACTAAAGGATGCTGTAAAAGCCTGGATTCACAAATTGTATAGTTGGAATTTGAGTCCTAAATATATCACTTAATATATTTGCCTCTGGGGCTTCTTTCTCCAGCTATAACGTAAGCTAGCCATACTACATCACCTCCAAAGCCATTTCCCAAGCCTAATGGCAAAACTGACTTTTCCCAAAGCAGTCCTTGGTATCTTATGGACATGGGTAATGCTAGCATTTTAACTAAACTCAAAACAAATTAATTGGAGAAATAGTTCTTAATCTCATTCCTCATTTTCAGTCAAACTAAACTTGCCCTATCTTCTTGCTGCCTAATATCTAATTGATACATCTAGGTAATCCAAATTTGCCTCTAATTTCCTACATAGCCAAATCTCAGTAACATTTATCTTTCTATGACACTAATAAAAAAAATGGTAATTTCTCATCTGTCTCCTCTGCACAATGCCCAACACTCAATGAACACTGGCTGGAAGAGTACGAAGTTAGATGATGTCCATCAGTGGGAAGATCACTAGATACGGAAATAGCAGATACATGTTGCAGCTTGGCCTCACCTCAGATTTGCTGTTTCCTGAGGCAAATTACTGTCACTGGGCTTTTTCCTTCATCATTTAGTTTCAAAGGCTTCTATGGAACTTAGTGTAAGCCTTGAATGTGGGCTTTTTTGGGGCATGTACGTGTGGTGGGGATGGGGATTGGTGAGAAGGAAAGAGAACACTCGATACGGGTCTTAAAAAAAAAACAAAAAGAATTACCTAAGCAACCAAGGAGTGGGGAGATTATCAGGACATTGCAAAATGCTTGGTCACAGGCATTAAAGCAAGGAAAAATGAAATTGTTTTTACAATTGAAGCGGAGAATCTATGAGAGATGGGGGTGGGGGGTGACAAAAGAAAAGGGACTCACCTATAACAAAGAAAATATCAAGGATGGCTGGAGTTTTTTTTAGCTTGGAGTAATTAGGAGTGGGGAGATGGTTATGTGTCACAGGAAGGCCGCTAGATTTTAGGGGGCAGGGAACGAGTGGAAGAGGAACCTAAGTAAAGGTGAGAAAATGAGAAATTTAAGTTTCACTTGGGACTGTTGAATTCTGAGACATCTGGGATATAGATTCTAGTGGAGAAATATAGAAAGAAGGTTGCTGGAAATAGGTATTTAGAACTCGAGTAATCTCTGGCCTAGAAGTCTAGATTTGAGAGCTGCTGGAATGTGGTCGGTAAAACAAAACTGTGAGAGATGAGCTTGCTTAAGTAGGAAGAAGACAAATGAACACTAACTACTGAAGAGTTAACAAAAGATGGGGGCTCAGGAAGAAACTACCCTTCTTGGGAAAGCTAATTATTTCTTTCATGGAATGGCCTCACATTTGCTTCTTCTATCTCCAGCATTATGTATACTATTTTTTTCAACTTAACAGTTCTTGAAAAAATCCTTTCAATCCCATTTCCACAATGAGGCCTAACCAAATGAATGAATATGACACAATCCCCTTGAATACCAAATGCCAAATACCAGTGCAGAGCAGAGACAATTTTATTCATCTAAAGGTTATCTTTTCACTTATGCCCAATTCCTAAAGGTACAGAGATGTTATTCATAATAGCTTTATTTAAAAAAACATACGTAGTTGTATGGACAAAGTAAAATTGTATCAGGCTAGCCCTTAGGATTATCTGACCAAGACCCAGCTTCTGTTTCTAGGTGATTAACTAGTCTTTGTTACCTTATGTCTCCTCCAATCTGTCCCCAAAATCCAGGGGTAGTAAGGAAGTAAATATAAAGAAGGTTACCAAGGAACTGTTTCAAAAGAGGGATAAACCCAGAAGAATAAAAGTATCACAAGGTTTTTAAAGAGACAGTTGCTTCATTCTGGCTTAGACTAAAGGAACAGTCAAAATGAAGAGAATATCTTATCAGGGAAAAACTCTGTTCTATTCTACTTTTAATAAGTCAGTACATGTTTTGCAATTGGGGTTCTTCGAAAATTTGGATTGGCTTGGGTTTGAGCAAAAAATTGCTCATCTTCAACAAATATAAAGTATTGTTCTATTTTGGCATATAAAATATATACCCAGATGAGTTAAAGTTGTCTAGGTTATCAAGTTTACTACCACTTGCTTAAATCTCTTTTGCTCTCTACTTCATTCTGGGGCAAGACATCTTACCTCTTAAGAGTTGCTTAAGCAAAAGACTAAATTCTAAAAGAATAATAAAGTGGTTTCCCAGGCTTCAGGGGCGCCTCGGTGACTTAGTCGGTTAAGTGTCTGACTCTTGATTTTGGCTCAGGGCATGATCTCAGGGTCCTGAGATTGAGCCTGGAGCCCATGCTGGGCGTGGAACCTGCTTTTCTCTCTCTCCCTCCTCCCCTTCCTTCTAGCTCAAGCTATCTGGAAAATAAAGAAATAAATACATAAAAAGAGCACAGGCTTCAGAATTAGACAAGCTTGTTTTAAATCCCAACTCCACTACTTACTAGTGGGATGATCATAGCAAGCTAACATACTAAAACCAGAGTCCTTGTCTGTAAAATGGGACCATAGTTGTACCTACCCTAAAGGACTGCTGTGATGATTATGAGATTTTTTACAGTCGTAAACACTAAAAATAATAATCAGTTCTTTTTATTGTTTGGATCAATTTGGACTGACACTGTGTAAGGCTTGCTATCCCAGTGTTTCTTAGATTGCAAATGAAGCAGTGAGGTACAAATAAAAATCAATTATGATTAGTATTAAGAAACAGTCTTTGTATTTACATCTTACTCAAAGAATGAAATAATCCTAGTTATGCCTTAAATTTACTTGATTCCTTTGTACTCAATTAGTCAAATGTTAAGGCAGTCACAAAATATATGCTAATAAAAATTGTTTGACTTGAGATTTAAACTTACATCAATATTTATTAAGCACAGTATTCCTGTGGATTGAACATTAATGACTGTAAAAAAGTCTTAATGTACTGAGGGAAATTTTTCCAAAGGCCACTGACATGTTACTGAATTTATTTCAACATAAAAATTTCAAAAAAAGTGTTTAACATCTCCCATGCCTTCCTTTAGTGTTATATGAAATTTCAACAATTAAATATTACTAAAAACAAATCAAGAGTGGGACAAGTACTGCTTTGCTTCTACACTACGTATTATTCTAGTTGAAAATTACTGCTTTAGAATTACTTAACTCAAAAGGAGATTCTGGTATAGATAATGCAAAAAATTATAAAGTAGAACTACTATAAAATCTAAAGGGTTATAAAAGATTTTTTCACTCAAGCAGAACTATACTCAAATAGGTATATTTTCAGTTGTAAAGTTTTTAACAGCTAACAACTTTTTCTCATATCATTGTAGATCCAAGTCCTTGAATTCTTCTAGGTAATAACAATACTGTAACATAGATTTGGTAAATGACAGAACTTTACAATCATTTGTAGAGCTCAATTTGTATAAAATTATCTATGATGAATTCCAGACTTACAACATGACCTGAAATTTGTTAATCACCTTAGATTCCGGAGCTAAGACTGTCATCTGAAATGGAATGCTTCACCTACACTCTTTGCTCTCTTCCTTTCTTGATTCTTCCATAAATAATTGTTTTTGTTGTGTCTATTTAATGTTCTTCACCCTTGAGTTGAACCGCAAAGGGAGGAACTGTGTCCATCCAGAGGGTCTACTAATCATAACACTTTGCACAGAACTGATATTAAACATTTAATTGAAGAAAAAGATAGAATAAAATATTATTTAATGTTATCTAATTATATTTTGTAAATTAGCATAAGCTTATGTTATGTTATGTGGGGCTAATCATGCCAGGAGAAAGAAATTAAGAAATTAACCAGCTTTTTAAATATTAGAAACTAATGAAAAGAGTATCCCTTGAACATAGTAAAAATGGGCAGGCCTCCTGAGAAATTTTTTTTCTCCTTGACAAAGATAGCTTAAACAAAAAGCCAATAAATCTTTTCTTGTGATACTCTTGCATCTGGTTTCTACTCACTGAAGAAGAAAGTGTAGTAGTTTCTATATAACTGGCAACTGAAGTAAGTCAGTAGAAAAACAAAGTTTGAGGAACAGAATAGCTAGAGTTCCATGGACTTTCAGGTTACTTCTGACAAAATTATGCCAGTGAAACTTAGCAGTTTCATATACAGATCATGGGAATGATGAAACTCATAGAAGACCTTGTAGAAAATGAAATGGACTTTAAAAACTCTTATCTTTTGGATAGAAACCTTGACAAAGATCTTTTTACATTAGAATCTTGGATTTAGGGAAAATAATTTTGTGAACCTAGTAGAAAGGCTTAATTGTATAATCATACATCATAAATACCTATCTGTGGGTTCTCTCAATTGCCCGGTATCATTCTCTGTAGACAATTAGAATCGAATCTAAAGAGAAGAAGTGAAAAAAAACCAAAAGCTATCCTGAAGGTGGAAAGAAGAGGCCAAAGGCTTAGTAGTTTAGTCAGGTACACTTCTATTGCCATGCCTTTAAGCATGTCTCATAGACAAGTGAAGTTCTAAGTGAACTAGATCTAGGAATCTGAAGAAATTCAGATGTATAGTACTTTACTCTTTTTACACATTGCTGGATCAGAGCAGTATACAGGAGTCCTGTGAAATCCTTGCATCATCACTAGAATCAATAATTATGAAGTGGAAAAACATCCTTGTGATCTCTAAGATACTAAGCAATATCTCCTTATCCATTTTTGAAAAAGAACTTTAGAACTACATTTATATTAACACTAATGACTTTTGGCCACAAACTGGAACCCATATTCTTGATTATGGCAGCTATGAAAACACTGAACTAGAGAATGTTCTTAGTTCAATGTTGACAGAATATTTTTACATGAACCTAATCTCTTTACTAAATGCTTTCAGTGATGGTAATCATCTGATTTTCTGCTCCACATTTTAGATTCTCTGTGTACATCAAGAATTTATAAAAGGTTTAACAGGAAATGTAAAAAGAAAGAAGACCAGGATGCTAAGATAAACATCACTGGAGGTGTTCATAGGATAGACAACTGAGAAGGTATGTCATCGATGTAGACAAAATGAGACAAATGGTTGGAATAACGACCACTAAATTCCCTTCCAACTCAGATGTATAATTCTAGACTCAGAAGATAAACTCACAGGTGGTATCAAATAAAAAGGCTTTGGCTCTGGAGTCATACCCAGGTTTGAATCCCAATTCTATCACTTTTATAATATAACTTCACACAAATTACTTATCCTCTCCAAAGGATAATAATAGGACCAGACAAGAGTATTCAGTGAGATAATGCATTAGTGTCTGGCACATATTAAACATTTAATATATAAACTATATAATCTGTATTAGGAAGGTATAGTGGTCAAAATCTAAATATCATGAAATACACAGGGAACATTAACTTAGGAGTGACATGATGTGGTTTCTATATTTGATTCTTGCCTCTAACTGTATATGTTAATTTCCAACATTCTTTCCAGTTACTAAATCTTATGATGCCACATTCTGGGGGATTTTACTGTATTTAAACATTTATCAGATGCTGATTATGTGGACACATCACTGAATAAACCATACACTAGAATTTATGAATATACAGTTGAGTTAGAGGTGTGATAAATGCTAAGACAAGGAAAGATTTTAGAGGGTGTTTTGGGGAAATATCATCAAGATCAAGGGTCAGGAAAGAATGTTTAGTAAAGGAAGAGCCACAGGTGGGTGGAGAATCTAAAAGGACAGAAGCCTACACACAAATGTTCTAAGTAAAAGGAACAGCACCTACAGTTAGCCATGTTAGACAACTCAAATAATGAAGACCAGTTAGAAGGTTTTTGCATTTCCACGTAAGAAAGGACTGTGCCCTGAATGGGGATGAAAGAGATGGATAGGCTTAAGAAAAAAACTCACGGAAGTAGACATGGCAGTACCTCGCAATTAACCTGCTATGAGAGATCACAGAAGTTTGAGTGTTAAGGAGAGATGACTAGGTAACAAGTTTGAGCACCTAGAGCATACAGATGGCTTCCTACAGCATACAGATGACACTCAGAACCATCTACATATTCTTAGCATGACGAAGAATGTGAGAAGAGGGTCTCAACAGCATCCTGAGGACACCAGTAATACTTAAAAGAACAAACAGAAAGGAAAGGCCTGCCAGGGGACTGAGAAGAAATGAGAGGTAGAAGGAAAAACTGGAAGGGATGGTATCCTAGGTATCAAAATTATCAGTCCAAAATTTGAAACCTATGACATGTCAGTATCAGCTTTGTACAAATCAGAAAAATATTTGGAACACTAGAAACTATTTAAAAGCTACTTAACTGTGATTGTAATTGTTAATATCCATGCATATGTACTCAAAATCTGGAAGGGAACATAAAAACACTGAGATCGTCACTGGGTTAAAAACTTGGTTTAGGTGTAATTGTTTATTCTATTTCCCAAACATACCAAAGTTTTAATTTTGAAAAGGCAAATATGTTACTATTAAGGAAGCTGGGGTACAAATGTCTTATCTAAAAAAAGATTTTTAAGATAGTATTTTCATGTTCTGATGACCTATCAAGTTGTTGTACACTTGTACACCATGGTCTTAAAGAAATTAAGTTTATGCTTGATAGGCAGACTATTTCAACTAAACTGAAGAGTAAATAAATTCTTACAGTTTTACTTGTTTTTGTTTTAAGCAGTACTACTATTGTGGATTTAAGTCCTATTGAGACACAGGAACTTTATTATAAACACATAAAAATAAGAAAAGGTTTTACACAAAGTAGGTACTCAGTTAAAAAAATCCATATATCTAAAATATAAATTCTGTGGCATACACGTTTTAAAAGTAAACATAGAAAAGGTATCTTTATAGAATTATTCACAATTAAGGGCAAATGGGAAACTGACACAGCACTCAGTAGGAGGTTTTACATGTGATTCATTCCCCTACCCCAAGAAACATCGGCAGCTCAAAGCAGATTTTTAAACTGCTTCCCCCGAATGTCTGCTATTTATAAATCCTAAATATTAAAGGGTGAGTTCCTTAACGGTTACACTTGGCACAATAGTATTCTAGTAAGTACTATAACTTTTCTAACACATATATATTTGCTTATAATCACAAACATTAAATTTGAATAGAAGGTATTTCCTAATGCAATAAATACTTAATTTTAAATTATAAGCAATTTACCAAATTTATTTTTTTGACAGATGCTTTAAAAGATGGTTTTATAATAAAGAATGGCCCATTGCTACTTAAGTTCAAAGGTAATCAAATTTATGTATTCACATCTTCACGCAATATAAAATTCTCCCTTATCCTTTAAGTTCCCCAGGGGTACTCTAGGCATACCAGCATACAACTGAGAGCCATGGTTGCAGTTAGAAAGCTAGATCTGAATCCTAGCTCCACCACTAAATGGCTATGTGACCTGAGCAAGTTATCTAATCTCTCTAAGCTTTCAATTTCCTTCCCTGTAAACTGAAGGTACTAATATCTATATAATACAGCCGTTGTGAAAATTATAAATAACATGCCCCAAATACATAGCATAGTGCGTGGCACACTAGGTAGCCACTGGGTAGCAGAAATAAAACTACTCTGTGCAGAAATCCAATCAACATTTGAGCACAGAGATTGACAGTATGAAATCCCTAAGCTAAAAGTGGGTAAGCTCTGATTTGTTCCATCAGTTTAACGATCAATTATAATAAATTAGCCTTGGATAAAATTCAGTAAGAGTTACATAATCAGTGTACTCATTAAAAATTTCTTTCCTACGTCATGTAGTTGGGTATATAACAAGGCTTGTCTCTTAGATACATTCATTAGCAATGTTATTCAACTCCTTTTGAAAATCTGACAAATGCTCTGAACCTTTCACCAAAAACTGAACATACATTAAGTTCCATCCAGTATTTCACAGGGTTCATGATCCCCTGAGGTCCACCCATCCACTGACTACTAAAGATGGGTATCTTACACTAAAGAAATTAGAAATTATTTTCCTAATTACCCAAATTATGTGGAATTATTGTGGTAAATGAAAAAATTAAGTTTATAGGATCCAAGACAACTGTTACTAGTTTGTTGTATTTCCTTCCAAACTACTAATGATTGCAATTACTGTTTTATGAAACTTAAGTTTATAGAATATGATCAAAGTCATGGAATACCATATGAGAAACAATTCAGAGTATCATTCAAAAGACAGGATGTATGTGTGTAAGGGAGAGACTGACTACCCCAGAGGGTTAAGGATAAAGTTAGAAATAGATATGGTAGCCTATTTGATAATTTCAAATAATTTTTGATCCACTTACAGGATAGGTACACCGTACTTTAATGAAAATATTAATTCTACAACTGTATGACCTTGGACATATAACTTAACCCAAGTTCCTTTTTCTTCATCTGCAAAATATGATGATTTTCAGATTGAAGATTAAGATCTCATCCCAGTCTAAACTGTATTATTCTGAGTCCTCTACAAAATACAGCTGTGTAAAACAAAGCAAAATAAGAAGCTATATAAAACAAGTTTTAAAATTTTTGTTTTCCATGCAGAATACAATGTTAAAAGGAAATCTTTTATTTTCCAAAAAAAGTATACTATTGACTTCTAGTATATGATTTTCATTTGATACTGGTTCTCAAGATAAGAATTGAGAAAATTTTCCTGGCTTTATTTTTACAGACATCTAGAAGAAAAATAAAATCCCAAAAGCGAATAAGGTAATTTAAACTATATTTTATGAAGAAAATGGATGTAAAGTTTTTTTTTTTTAAATAAAAGCTTAATGTATTAGTTCTCAAATATCGCCTGTGATAATAACTAGAAAGTATTTGGGGCTCTTAACTACAGTGTAAGCATCTATATTAGATGCCATAGCAATATTTAAATAATGTTTACATAATACAGGATGTCACTTGATTTTTTAAACTGATTATTAAACACCACTGCAAAGATACGGCCTTCAGCCTCATGAAATTTTGAAAGGATTACATACTCCCAAGTATTTAAAATTCCAAGTTTGAACTTATATTTAATACTATACTCTTAGTTATACAATGTGCTCATTCTGTTCATAAATATTCATCTCAATACAATAACATCAGGTATAATACATAAAATCTAATCCATTAAGTCTTACCAATTTATGACCTGATGAGACACTCTTGTGGACAACATTCAGTCCTTAGAAGCTAGAATAACCCTCCAACCATGTGAGGGCATCACAACTTTTAAACTTTCGGCTTTCGATCATTATTATGTCACATTCCTCCTCCGATGCTGAATTCTAAAAAAAATTCTAGCAAAGAGTTTAAGTAAATAAGTGTTTTAATCAAATAGCCTTTAAAAATCTTTTATAGCAAAGTTTTATGTTTTACCATGATTACACAACTGATATTTTGTACTTAAGTATTTTTTTAATGTAAAATAATTTCATATTTAATCTGGATACTTCAAACTGTAAATTTCAACATGGACTTCCAGGCCATCAGGAATACTTGTTAGTAGAGAGTCAAGGAGAAATGGAACCAATTAAAGGTTTAAGATCATGATCCAGAAATTATGATTTAACACCGTAACTTGCTACAGACAGTTTTGTAGTCCTATAGAATGGCACTTGAGTCTATTATCTGGTTCACATCCATATGAATTTCTAGACTTCTAACACAGGTGGATGGATCAGTAATAATCCATACCGATCATTTAAATGCTCAAGACAGCATTCAATTTTTATGCCTAAATCCTAGTCTGTCTCTACCATCCCCCAATTTTAAATTAAACAACATGATGGAAAAAATAAAATTTTATTATGCATTTTATATAACAGACATAACAATGTATCCTGTTCAGAAGTGGTCCTACAGCTCATCTGTGTACAGGCAAAGAACAAAATTAGGGGTAGGAATATATTAAAGAATAATCTTACATTTATTAAATTTTTACAAGAAAGCTTTCAATTGGGCATCTATTTTAATTGTTGAAGGGTAATATTAGTAACATTTTCTGTGCAGTATGAATACTCATTTCTATTTTTAATTGTCAGTAATCCACAGAAAAGGCAACCCACATATTTATGTGCATATTTTTGCCTAAATTAACCCCCTAAATAAAACGGCATAATGGGGCAAGGGAAGGGGGTGGGGGAAGGAAGCCATCACTGAGGAAGATCAATATATGCAAGCAAAGCTATAGAAAACTCAAAGACAGCATTGTAAGGAAACTCTGCAGCCATCTCCAGAAATATCTGACCCAAATATAGGGGTTGGAGTTCTGCTGTTACAGATTTTAAATTTTAATGGAATTTTTCTATTACACAT